CTTCCTGGTGGGGGCGGAGCTAGGGGCGTGGCGAGGGTGTCCTGGCTGGGTGAGGGCAGAATGGGTACAGCTACCAGATTTCCTCTGACCCTGCTGGGAGGACCTACCCCACTAAATCGACAGGACGAGGGCCCACCAGGGGCTCATGAGGTTAATCCAGAGAGGAACCCTGAACAGACCTGGGGCAGGTTGGAGGGGCGGGAGGTGGGGGGTGGAGATTTCCCGGGAGGAGCCTACATGCAAGGAAAGGTTTGGCAGTTAACTAGGGAATGGAGCAGCCAGAGGGAACAGCATGTGCAAAGTGAGCATGTGTAGAAAGCAGGAGTAGGCCAGAAGATGATGGTGATGATAATCTCACTATGGCAGCTAATTCCAGCTGAGCACCGGTATATGTTCACTTGTACTCACTTTACCACTCCCAGCAGTCCTGTGAGGTGGGTACTGTTAGTATTAGGTTGAACACTGGACTGTTTTTGACTTACAAAAACCAGCAGTTTTGTGCATTCACTTTAATGTCCCCATTCAACAGATGAGGAAACTGAGGCCCAGTTTCACAGTCAGGAGGAAGAGGCAGAGGCAGGCAGTGAGGTTCCAGAGCCCATGTGCTAATCCTTGTGCTCGTCCTGGTTCTGCTGAGGCTAGAGAGGAAGGGGCAGCAGATTGTGAGGGGCCTGAGAGCCATGCTCTGCAGTGGGGAGCCTCAGGCAGTGGGGAGCCATGGAAGGATTTTAAGTAGGAGAGGGAAGGGCTCCGATTTGGGTTAGAAAGCTGGGTCAGACTGCAGTGGAAACTGGCTTGGTGGGAGACAAGCATGGAGACGGAGAGGTATGCAGGAGAAGATGGTGGGACCCTGGCAAGGTGGTGGGGACTGAGAGAAGAGGACAGGTCTGAGTTATGTTGAGAAGAATAGACAGGGCTGGTTGCTAGATTGGATGTAGGGGTGAGGAGTGGGAAGAGGTGAGGGAGACTCCCAGGCACTGCCCATGAGATGGAACTACAGGAGGAGGGGAGGGAGGTCATGAGCTCAGTCTTGGATAGGGTGCCAGGGGGACATCCTGGTGCAGTGTCACAGAGCTGGGGGTGCCTGGCAGACGGGTTTTCTCTGGTGGCCACTGTGGCTGGGCCTTTGTTCTTCCCCTGGCTCACCCCTGCCACCAGCCAGGCACCCCTGCCTCTCTTCCCTTCTCCCTCCTCCTTCCAGAGACACCCAAGAGTTATTGGGCCCGTGAGCCTCCCCCAGGCCCCAGCCACACTCTGCACATTCTCCCGTTATGATTTTATTAAATTTATTTTTTCATTATAAAAGTAATATTAAAAAAGTAATATAAGCATATTAAGGGAAACTTGGAAAACAGAGAAACTAAGGGAAAAAAGCACTCAAAATCCCCTAGCTCCTAGCCCAGCAGCTTAGAGAGCCTTTTGGCCTGTTTCCTCCCTCTTTCATCTTTTTGTTTGCTTTTTAATGTGTGTGTGTGTTTTGCTGAGCTTGTGGGAGGGCTGTACCCATGATTTTAACTTGCTTTCCTACTTGCCATTCTATCATAAACATACAGGGTGTCCCTAAAAACTGTATACACACTTTAACAGCTGATCGCTCAACTGATGTTTCTTTCTTTTCAGATTTAACCCATTGGAATTAAATCATTCATAGTGTGTATTTATTTTGGGGGGACACATTAGTATTTAGTGCATTTTTTTATTATAAAGATAATACAAAGTCATTATAGAAAGTTTAGAAATTGAAGATAAAAAGGAGAAAAAGTCCTAGTCCCATTATTAGCATTTCATTGTTTTCTCTATAATTTATTTTATTTTATTCTTTAATCACAGATGTAAAAAATGGAGGAATTCACCAGGTAAAAAAATTCAAGTAATATATAAATAAATAGACAAAGTATGAAGCTCTCCTTTTACCAATACATTCTTTCTCCCTGGAGAGCACCACAATTTACACACAATTTAGTTTGGCGTGTCTCTTCTCACATGCATTCCTGTGCATTCACACACATATGTTGTCTCTGTATAATACATATGCAGTTCGGGTGTGTGTTTTAAAATAGAGGGGCTCGTACTGTCTGCACATTTTGGCCTTCTCGCTGTGTCACTGGGTGACACCTGTCTTCCTGTTGTGGCTCCCAGTCCTCCACAATGAGGGCGGACGTATCTCTTTATGCAATCCCTACTGAGGACAAACAGCTCATGTCTAGTTTGTCCAACCACAGTTTTGTACGGAAGGTCCATGCATACAGCCTTTGTGTCATGTGCAAATATTTCTTTAGGGCGATTTCTAGAAGTAGAATTGCTTGGTCAAAAGTTACGTACGTTTAACATTTTAAGGGCTGTTGCCATGCGGTCCTTCATTAAAGGTGATAAGTGGCCGAAACCGGTTTGGCTCAGTGGATAGAGCGTCGGCCTGCGTAAAAAAAAAAAAAAGGTGATAAGTGCACCCTCCAGCTGCATGTGTGCCTACAACATGCTTGTGCTGGTGCTGGGTATTCTCTCTTTCAGTGCACAGAAAGATTAAAAAAAAAAAGCGTAGTTTCACCACATGATACCATTTTCATTGTTTGGTCTACTTAATCTGTTATTGTAAATGTTTCTGATCCCCTCATTTTATTTTTATTTTTAAATATATTTTTATTGATTTCAGAGTGGAAGGGAGAGGGAGAGAGAGATAAATATCAATGATGAGAGAGAATCATTGATTGGCTGCCTCCTGCACAACCCCTACGGGGGACCGAGCCTGCAACCCGGGCATGTGCCCTGGATCAGAATCGAACCAGGGCCCCTTCAGCCTGCAGGCCGATGTTCCATCCACTAAGCCAAACCGGCCAGGGCTCTGGTCCCCTCATTTTAAAAAGAGTAACTTTTATTATAGAAGTAAAAATAAAAAGTTTATTGTCAAAGAGTCTGAAAGTATAGTTACACCCCCCAAAAATATTTTTAAAATTACTTTTAATTCTACCATCCACATCACATTTTGGTATATCTCCTCTTACTTTTCCATAAAACAAATACAAACTTTTTAATGGGCAGTAATGTTTAGTAGAGGAGATTGATCAAAATTCATCAAATCCTTCCTTCCCTAATGTTACAAATTTCAGTTGCCTCTAATTTTTACTATTATAACTAACACAGTCATGAACATCTTTGTGTCTCAGTTTTGTTTTGTTTTTTCTGTAGTTTGAATGATTTCCAAGTGCCTTTTATCTAACTCATTTTAGTTCTTAGGTATCTAAGGCATCTTACACATACACAAGCTCATTTAGTTACTCCTGGACAATAATTTACAAAGGGAAGGGGAGGCTCAAAGAGGCGAGTAACCTGCTAAAGTCACACAGCTGGGTGGCCAGGGCTGAGCTGGCCTCTGCAGCTGCCCCTCACCCCTGCCCCCACCCCCGTGTCTTCGCAGGTCTAGGGCTCTCCTCCCGGACCCCGGCTGTGAGCACATCAGAGTCCAGCGCGGGCACGGGCACCAGCACCCCGTCCACACCCACCACCACCAGCCAGAGCCGCCTCATCGCCTCGTCCCCCACCCTCATCTCAGGGATCACCAGCCCCCCCCTCCTGGACTCCATCAAGACAATCCAGGGCCATGGCCTGCTGGGCCCCCCCAAGTCCGAGCGAGGCCGCAAAAAGATCAAGGCGGAGAACCCAGGGGGCCCGCCTGTCCTGGTAGTCCCCTACCCCATCCTGGCCTCAGGCGAGACTGCCAAGGAGGGCAAGACATACAGGTGGGGGTCTCGGCCGGAGGGGGTCCAGGTGGGCTTGGGGCAGAGGCTCTGGCGGAGGGCTGTCCCCAGGAGCACAGCAATGGGGGCTGGAGAGAGGGACCCCAGGGGCTGAGGGGGGCTAAGTCCACTGCACCCACATCCTTTCAGAGGCAGTGAGTGTGGGGCACACAGCCTGGGTCATGGGAGTCTGTTTCCTCCTCCCTTCCACCCTGAACGTTAGAATCACTGGGGGGAGTTCAAAAAGTGCCAAACCAGGGCCTCACTTCCAAAAATTCTAATTTAATTTGTTGGGGGGACCAGGTGTCAGTCTTTCTTGAAAGCTCCCGCAGTGATTCTAAGGTGCAGCCGGTTGAGCGCTCCCCCAGAACTGTGGGTGTGGCTCTGGGCCTCTCCTCCCCGTGAGGGGTGAGCCTGCTGCGCAGGCTGCTGGAAAGGGGCCCCCAGGCAGAGGAGCTTTCTCCTCCAGATTGGAGGTTGTCCAGGCCCGAGCCTGCCTCCCACCTCTCCCAGGTGGGCTGTGCCCAGAGCCTCCTCACAGGAAAGCTCAGTCCAGGTGCACGGTCTCAGGCAGAAGGCCGCCCCTGAGCGGTACAGGCGGGGGTGCAGCGTCTCCCGGTGTGAACCTG